GGCGTAGTGCCAAGTAGCGTCCTACCACACCCATTGTCGTAGATAGAATTCCAATTGATATTCGCCTAAGCCAATCTAGCCTCCCTTCCTTCCGGGGTCGGGTAGATGGTTTCATACTCGCCTGGGAGAACAAAAGCACTCACTTCCACCGAATGCCGTGCGCATTCCAAAATGTAATTGATCAAGACCAAAAAACTTTATGTTTCAAGACTTTAAACGTTGGATGCTGCGGTGGCAATTCCCTTCTGGTGAGTATCAGAGCAGGCTAGTCATGCAATTGTGTTGGCTACCACAGTTAACACCACTTCATGTAGATATAAATAACACTAAGGATCTGCAGCGGAGATGTCTTTTGCGTTACCCAGATCTCGAGGAACCCAGTCGATTCGTACAGCGAATTAAAAAGCTCTCGCTAAGGTGAGAAAAAGATTTGCCAGGCTCCTTAGGCTTCTCCGCAGCAAGTGGGATCTGATGAGACAAAGGTGTCAAACCGTCTGGCGTGAATGCTTTAATATTTGCGTTTTCGGTGGTATCTAGTCATTTCAAGGAATTGGATTGGTGCTAAGTAATTATAAGTACTCGAAACGCGTTGTACCCATGGAAGCAGTTCATTCACAATTGACCCACAATTGCCTGGCAGACTGTGAACCGGTTGGATAGGAGCGAGGGATGTCTCGTGGTAATTATCGCGCTCCAATTCAGCTACCGTAAGCGGGCGGCGATTTAAAATATTCGAAGGTGGCGTTGGATGAATCAGCCTGTCATCTCTCGGATTATCTCTTTCATTCTTATTTCTCTTTATTTCTCTTATATTCCATCCGATTTGTCAAAAGTATAGCATACTAATTCAGAGAAACTCGCAATATTCGCGAACCAGCGTCTTTTCGGCTCTGGTTGAATGTCGTCTTCTCACAGGAAGTGAGTTATCCCATGTTTATGGTTTTTTGGGAATTGTTGAAGGAAAATATTTTTGCTGGGTCTGATGAATTTGGACCCGTGTAGTCTGAAAGTTGTATTTCAGTGTCATCTGATATAACCCTCTAGACAGTACCGTACGTCGATTTCCCCGTAAAAATGTCGATAACTGATTGATATCCCTATCCTTATGGTAGATATCTTATCAAATCGCTTCAGTTTACTGGATTTTTGATTAATTCTATCCCTTTAAAACTGTAAAATTACAGTGTTTTGCAAATTTCGCCCCATGAGTTCTGCTGAAATTGTTTCTCAGAACAGTTTTCATTTAAGGCGAGCATTATCTCAGCATCAATTCAATATTTCCTCCTAAACATTTTGAGAGTAGTCAAAGAAAAATGCACTGCAACAGATTATCTGGAAAGCGCTTTGTAATTCTTTCATATTAATAGTTTTGTATGGTGAATATTGTGGACAGCCTGCTGTGCTTTTGTAAACATTGATCTCCTTTAGACGTTGTGCAACCCCAGGACGTAATCAGTANAATATTTCCTCCTAAAAATTTTGAGAGTAAACAAAGAAAAATGCGCTGCAACAAATTAGCTGGGAAGCGCTTCGTAATTATTACTTATTAATAGCTTTGTGCGGTGAATATTGTGGGCAGCCTGCTGTGCTTTTGTAAACATTGATCTCCTTTAGACGTTGTGCAACCCCAGGACGTAATCAGTATCGAGAGGCAAGTGCATCCCGTGCAAAGCGCTCACTTGAAGACCAGGATGCTGTAGAAGTGGTGTGCCGTCTGACACCTTATTATGGACCGACGCCATGCCTTGCTGTTGCTGAAGAGAACATTATACGATGCATTCCTCCGCCTACTCTACAAAAGCGTGATGGAACACCATATGTAAGCTATTTGATTCATAAGATGTAATGTCTTTATGCAAAATTTGGTCGATTAACTTTGAAAATCGAGATAACATTTAAAGAAGAAAAGGTGTGTCTTTACGTTGGTCATGTAAGATTTTTGGGTTTGTGCAAGCGGAATTTTATAGCAAGCCAACGGGGGCTATTGCCACAGACAAATTCAAGGCTAGTCGTCATCCTTTCCGGGTTCGGGTATTGCACTGGACTTTATGTAAATAATACATATTCTTGGCTATAACAGTTTATCGCTTCCGCAGTTCATCCCTTAGCCGAGAATAAGAGCAACTCCAATTGTTCCGGAACTACTTCTCTTAATCATCTTTTTCCGTAGCTTATCTGTTTGGAGCAGCGTCTTCTTTTCTTTATTTCTCTTTTTTTTCGATTGCCTGATGCTGTTTGTGAAGAGACCCTCGCCAAAATTATCCTCTTTTTTTTCAGCAGTCAAAAGATTTCGAGTTCGGCTACGTTTTTGACGAGAGCGATCGTCAGCAAGTGGTCTTCGAGCGATGCGCTGTCGACCTCATAGAACATTTATTGAAAGGCAAAAATGGTCTCCTTTTCACTTACGGGGTGCGCTTTTGTTTATATGCCCTCGTACCGCTTTTTTCAATACATCTAGACTTAGGTTACCGGTAGTGGAAAGACCTACACAATGACAGGGAAGCCCACGCCTGAAGAAACAGGACTGCTGCCTAGAACTCTCGATGTCGTATTCAACAGCATCGATAACAAGTACTCATTTTTTACCTCTCGGTAGTATGAAATTATTATCAAGCAATGCATTACTTCAAGAGTTGATCGTTGCGTATTCTATCCGAATGGTCGGAATGGTTTCGGAATTCGACCTAAAATGGAAGCTACGCTTGCTAGAAGACAAGCTGAGATAGAACGTTTACAAGTCAGCAGTGAAATTGAACAGCGTTACATGGAAAGATTAGTGGTGAGTCTCCTAATTATCTAGCTATTGCTTAAAAGTTATGCCATTCCTTTCAGGTTCCTGGGTACAATGATAATTATGTTTGTTCTGTATTCGTATCTTATGTGGAGATATATAACAACTATTGCTATGATTTGCTCGAAACTAAAAAGTGGGTATTCTAATATGCCTTTGCTGTCTTCCCGCTTCAATGAGTATATGAATTCCATGCTTCAGCACTCTCACAAAACGTGATACTCGCCTTGATATTAACAACATGGTATATGTAGATGGCGCTAGAGAAGTTGAAGTCGACAATAGCGATGAAGCTTTGGAGTTGTTTTGCAAAGGTTTTTCAAGTTTCCTCCTTGAGTCGTTGATTTCATCTCTCAGCTATCCATATACTTATTATGTTTTGCTCTACATAGTTTTGTTGATCAACTTCTTACTCGTGTAATTCCGTTTCTTAACGAAATTGGCTTTGGCTCAGATATTTCTTAAGGCTTACATTTGAAAACTAGAGGAAAATCTTTTTCATTGAAACCTTGTAGAACCTAATCATCCAGCGGGAGTAATTTCCATTTCTGTTCACCATTGTGACCACCAATGTATTGACCTTGTTCCAATAATATCAGTCGACAGAAACTGTACGAAACATGCATGCTTCTGAGTTTAGGCGAAGAGCGGCGTCGAACGAGCGATACCATCCTCAACAAGGAGTCATCACGCTCCCACTCAGTTTTCACAATCCGCTTGGTGATGGCTCCATTTGACGTTAGTTTTCGTTGATTTTGTTGCTGTTCAAGCAAGTGTGTTCTAACCTCATTTACCCCTCATCAGATGTTCGACCTAGACTATCGAGAGACCTAGTATCTCCCTCCACCTATCTTTTTCTGCCTGAACTTGGTACTACTATCCTCAGGGACGCATTCAGAATGCACCATTAGATTTTGGAGATTAGAGGGTATAATATATTCTGAGGCTTTGCGGATAAGTTGTTACAGCCTTACTAGTGTTTCATACCTATATACAATTGAACCCTAGGGGGTTGTTTTATATAAATTTCGAGCAATAGTATGTTTGTTACAGTCTACCAGCTATTCCGTCTACCCCGACAGTGATCCAAATCGAATTGTCGTCTCCCAGCTTTCCCTCGTTGATCTTGCTGGTAGCGAAAGGTATGTTCATCGCCTTCTGGATCCATACTACCTGGAGTAATCTTCCTTGTAGTGCACTGTTATACATTTTTTCAAGGGCAAAAAGAACTCAGAACGTTGGTGATCGTCTTGCTGAAGCAGCATCTATCAATAAGAGTCTAATGGTTTTGCGTCAGTGCATCGAAAAACTGAGGTACTACTGTGTCTATGTCCCTCTTTCGGCTTCATAAAGTAAAGTGAAAACTTACTCAAGTAATTCAGACGAAACCAACGATCTGCACTTCATGAGACGGTTCCATACCGCGATGCCAAACTGACTATGTTATTCAAGAATTTCTTCGAAGGCGCTGGGAAAGTTCGCATGATTATCTGCGCAAATCCGAAGCCATCTGACTTCGAGGAGAATTTGGTGTGGCATTACACTATTATCAAGTTTTATTTAATGCAGATGTTACTTAGTGTTATTATTTGGCTTAATTCGAATTTCAGAATGTGCTGGCCTTCGCTGAGGAGTCTCAATCTGTTCGTGTAGCTCGCGCCGAAGACCGCTTAGAAACAGACAGTGGTCCAAGGCCACCGGTTCCCCGTCGATTCTTCTCTCGATGGAACATGGAAGTTGATAACATTGTCACTCCGGCATCACTACTGCCATCGAGCACAAGGCTTTTTACGGATTTCGCTATCAAGGTTCGGTTCTCAGACAAGACGTCTGAATCTTGTCGCGCAGTTCATTTACGGAAATAAACGAGGAATGTTCATACAATTTATTTTTGTGACAGGATTATAACGACTCCACGTCTATATCTATTCTCAAAGACCGCTGCCTGGCTTTGTCACAGTTGACATCGAATGAACACCATGGCATAGCAGCTGAAAGTGAGTTTCAACATAAGTTCAAGTTAGGCTACAGCATATATTGTACTCAATATTTTTTGTTCTAATTAGACAAAGTTTTCCTTCAAGTGAAGATACGGTCGCCAAACGATCAACCGATAATTACCCATTATATGAACTTGAAACACTAGTCTTTCTTTAGTGCGCAACGGTGAGATCACTCTACGAAACGCCCTTTGTGTAGCTGACTACGCAAAGGTAGAGCTAGATGAATTACGTGCTCGTCTCGAAAAAGATGCTGATCAAATAGCATCTTATTCTGCCGAAAATAAAAGGCTAAAGGTGTGTGCCATTGAGTCATTTTGCCCTTTTTCGCGTGTGAAGTACGACTTTATAAAGCTCAATTCCAGAGAGAGTTGCTGTCTTTGCGTGAACGCCTTTCGCGATACGAAGTCCAAGATGAGGAAATCATCACTGCCGAAGAGAATTTGCGACGAAGTGTCAAGGAGGAGCGTTCTCGTGCTCGAAAGCAAGACCAGAAACTGAAAGTGGTAAGTTGAGCTTGCATATCCCTAGCCATATTTTGAATGATTTTAATTAAAATGAGTACTGAGTGCATGCTTTTTGGCTTTCAGATTCAAGACATCTGCGATGCTCCCTCGCCCTCTTTTGCTCAGATTAGAAGCAAGTTCGTGATGGCAGCGGAAACACCATCATACGCTACTATTACTCCTCAAAAAGTATCGATTGTTATTATCGAATATTAGAAATCTTCAGGGGTTCTTTTTGCCATTTTCTTTATTTCAGCGAGCAGTGACAACTACATCGAGTAATCAGATAGCCAGTTCTTCACGACAACCTCGTCCAGTCAAACAAGATCCAGGAACTCCGGTGTCGGGACCCGGCTTTTTCAATCCTAAGTACCATAGGAGGCGAGTGTGAAGAAGACATAGGTTTCAAAAATATTTATCTCGTCCTTCATTTTCAGGTCAAAATCGGCTCCAAGGGTGCTCGATCATCAACCGACTAATCGTGTCCCAACTGGAGGAATTCTTAGAGTGAAGGTTCCAAACAATGCCAAACATGTCACAAAACCTGAGGTGAGTTCTATCCATGTGTATTAAAAATTAGAGGTTCATCTATGTTCGTCAAAGGTGAAGAAACATTGTCGAGTAAATGTAGTTGCTCATGGAATGCTGACTTTTTCAAGAATGGGAACTTTGTTGTTGTCTTCTATTTTCGCCGTTGCCGTGGTCGATGATGCCAATTTTATGATTATCACAATTTGTGGGCAATATTTGCTTTCGGGACTCGGCTCCACTCTTTTTTCGAATTCTCTGCTTGTCTTTACTGCACCTCAATTGTCTAAGTTATGCTCCATGAAGTTATCTACACATTCAGGCTCACCAGCTCCAAAAATCCAGTGATTACATCCTAACTCATCAAGAAGTGGATCGGGAAGGAAACATCAGCACGAGCGTTGTTAAGGTTTCGATTTCAAATTCCATAATGCTCCACTTGAGGAATACTATATATAATATGCATATTTTGTTGCACAGTCACCGTATTGACCTGGTCTCACATCACACAATGTTCACCCCAAAGTTCGTCCTAACAAAGCAAAGCACTGTGGTGTCATTACAATCGTATCAGAACACCATCACCTAAGCCCTCGTCCACTGCAACTGCAAGCTTTGACTAGGCATGCTTTGCACTTTTAGAGTAATCTTCGTATTCATGTGGAGTCACTGAAATCTCCACCGCCACCTTCGCTCGACAGCACAATTGCAAACACGACTTCGAGTATCGAATCAGAGGTCATCTATGAACTATGATCACAAGTTTTGTATTTTCGCACTCATGCACGCTTCATGTCTAACAACACGCTTCAGAAGGTGAGCGGAATTTAAACTGTTGTTATGGTTTTTTGGAAATTGATGATAGAATACTGAATAGTTCGGCTGACGATAACCATTCTTTTTGCGATGCGCCATGCATTTGAATTCTATGCAGATTCATTGAAACTGATCTGTAACCAGTGCGAACAGTAATTTTTTCGAACATTTTTTTGACTTCACTGATGTTGATGAAATCACTATCAACTCGCCGTTCCCAGAGGGTTGGGTGGCCTGATCTTTTGACTGATACCATGCAGTTCGTGAAAGTTTGCTTTTGATTTCACTTTTGATGATCCTTTGCGTTGTAAAAATGGATCGGGTCTGGCCAGATGTTTACAAGAACGAAGCTGATGACAGTGTCAAAAGAACATGACCTTTTTTGTAAGGTGTTTGTATGAAAATGTCGTTACTTAGCAGAGTTAACTAGGAGCTCTGCTTTTTATAAAGCAGAAAATTTCCAACCTCTTCATTGCTCACGTGCCAGGCTGGTTTGACAGAATAAGAAAGCTGAGTTGGAGCTCGATTGATCGCTTGTGTAATGCCTGTGCAATCATATGTCCCCGTGATTACTAATGAAGATGTGTGGGAGTTTGTTCTGAAGAGTTCAAAGGCATTCTTTTTGCCGTATCCTTTGGACTAGGGTTCAAAGTGAAGTTTTTAGAGAGCCCTGCTCGTCGAGGAGGTCAACTGAATGATTGCCTTTCGATTCAGGAGAAAACTTTGCCTGGAATTGTTGTTTATGCTGCCTTGATATCACTATCTCCCCCATGGCACACATGTTACGTGTTTCACAAAAAGAAAATGCTCAACTCAGTCATTCGAGTTTCCATGTGATTTTTCATCCGTTAAAATCATCCCTTCAGGGTGAATGTATTCCAACCGCCGGTGGAGGCACTGCAGTGTTATTTAACGATGTTGAACAGGTCTCACACAAAAGCCCTGGTCGTGTGCTACACCCCACGCAACGTGGCAACACCTAAGCCGACGGTTTCTTCATATTAACCTAATCTTTGTTATATTTGGTTCGTCTTAGCGAGAACTACACGGAAAATCTAATATTTTCTACATTTTTTTCAATAAATGCTTCGACATTTCATAGCGGCCTTTTCGTGTAGTCAATATGTGATGTAAATATGTAGCTAAATTAAGTAGCTAGTGCTCATTATCTGTTTTCTACGGTAACAAATGTCGTTCTCATCCTATTTCACTGCCAACATTTGTGTGACTGATCTGTGAACTGTAGTAGGCTTTATGAATCGTCAATAGTTTTTAAACATATTCAAACAATGTTATGCCATTGCTATCCTCGACCTATTACTCGGTAATAAATTACGTTATTATGTTTTGTTCTGCCTTATTGAGAAGTCTGTTGTGGTCAGATATCCATACAGAAGCAGATTGTGACTCAACTAATCGATGACTGGAAGGTAATATAATGATATGAGTATTATTAGAACAATTCTAAAAATTGAAAATGAGTATTCTGTGTAGAAGTATGTTCGGAGATCACCGCGCGCTCCACCGAGAATCTGATGACCCATGGAGAGGCCTAACTTGTTTTCTATATTTGTTGTTTTTGTTTTAGATTCCGAAAACTAATAGCAGTTCTCTTGCTTACCCTAGATTTCAATCTATTTTTAAGTTTTCATACTGAGTTTTGGGGTGTTTATAAGAGATTCTAAGAACACTTTCCGCTTACTTTCTCCATTTCACTTCTAGACAGGAAAAGGGAAATGCAATTGTTCGAGAATTCGTTATTTTTCTTCTGATGTCGGTCAACTATCTATTTGAAATAAGTGCTGTTGTCACCAAAGAGAAGTGGAGTCGTTAGTAGTGCTGCAATTTAGGATCGAGAGTTAATATATCAGCTGTATGTCTTGGCCTGGTCCAAGTGATCCCAGTGATTGTCAAGTACACAATGGGACGACTAGAAACTTTGGATTCACAATGCCAAACGGTCATCCAAAGAAGCATAAAACAGCGGAACGTTTGAAGGTTGGCTTCGAAGCTATTTGAATGTTCAAAATGAGGTGCTCTTTTATGACGGCGATATCCTTTTTCAAGCCATACCCGTAACTGTGAGCTTAGAAAAATCGCCTCTTCGGCGATGGTGCCCTTTTAGAGATTATGACTGTGAGAACTCAGTTTCTTTTCAGTTTTCACCAAAGGGTGGCACTCACAAATTTCAGATCTTTCGACAATGGCTAGCTGATACAGACGAGGATGAAAGGAAGTTGTTAATTAGGGAACTATTGGTAAGCAGATCAACAGCTATGATGGGACTGGGCTCTTTTATTGAAAACTTGTTGCAGAATGACTGCGATTTACCCAATTTGGAATATATTAGTATGTTAATATCGCGGTTACGTGTTGCACGATCTCGCCCGACCACAAATGGAAGTAAAGATCCACTAACGCTTCTTCCATCGCACATTGTACTTCGTATTATGGCCTATCTAGATCCAGGTTCTTTCTTTTTTGAATTTATTAGTTTTTATATGTTGCTTTACGGCATTATTGCGAGAAAGAATTTTCCTTCTATTCAAGCTGTCCTTCCGTTCAATTTTCTTTTCAGTTTCCCTTTGTCGAAGTTCGCGTGTATCCCGTTATTGGCGCCTTGTATGTTCTGAACCAATGCTATGGCGGACACTTTGTCAGTTACCCCGAGAGTTTCGACTTTGTTCCGCAGAAGCAGAGTCATCTCAATTGCGAAGTCATACATCTGAATGTGGTACGATCCGATGGAAGGAAGCGTTCTCGGAACGATACAGACTTTGGAGAAATTGGCATGCAGGGCGGTGAGTCATAGTGTCTCCTTTTTATATTTAGAAGTCTGTCTGCAGTAGTTGCATTGGCCTGGCATATTGTACTCACGCAAATAAAGTGCGGATAATCCTTTTATTCACTTTATCATAATGGGCCATTTCTTTCGCATTTTAATACTTTACTCCACGCTATTGTAGTGGCAGTTGTGAGATAAAGCGTCTAGCCTGCTACTAAGATTGGCCCGTGATGGTTACTTATTTGAGTGTTTCAGTTTCACCCAGTATGTATTAACATGATGACATTTCTGCAAGCCGGCTCAGTGGCAAAAAATACCCTTCAGATCGTGTTCCTACACAAGAGGGCTTATCTTTTGGCTTTTAGTTGTGTAGTGCGCACATTCACGGGCCACACTCAAGGCATTACATGCGTGCAGTTCGACGACGACAGAATCGTTAGTGGTTCATCAGACACTACGATACGTATTTGGGATCTCAGGGGATCGAGCGATGTCGGAAGTGAGTTACTGTTATTACTGTTGTGGTGTAGTCTTTTCGTTCTAATCACGATTTCATTAGTTGACTTCATTACCTTCTCATGACTTCTTGAAATATTTTTCAATGATAATTTGCAGACCTTGGGACAATGGCATTAAATGGTCACTCAGCTACTGTTCGATGTCTCGACTTGAATGGGAACGTTTTGGTGTCTGGTTCCAACGATTTTTCTATCAAAGTATGGAATGTTGATGTTAATCCGAGGTGGTCATCAATCGGATGTCGCATGACAATGCTCGGTCATTCAAATTATGTTAGATGTCTACAGGTATGACCACCCTTCTGAAACCCTATAATTGTTAAATCGGCTGCTTTACAGATGGATCATGAGCATTTAATAAGTGGTTCCTATGACATGCATTTAAAGCTGTGGTCACTAAATACCGGAGCGTGCGTACGTACACTTGTGTGAGTTTTTTTAGCACACCACTCATTATGCTTGGTTTCGTAAGAAATGGTACGCATTCTGTGTACTTCATCCGAACAGTAGTTGATGTTGTCAGAGAAATATCAAAGGAGTCCGTTTTCTCTTGAATTTGTTTTGAATGTATAATATTCTCGGTCCCATAGAGTGTCTTTGGAGGTAGCTGTTAGCCCTGGCGCCCACCACACTCACAAAGTTATTGACGTTTCATGACATGAATTGGCTTGGGGACTTTTTATTGGCATAAATATGTCACAATGTCTTTCGTCCTTTGATTCATTGTTTTGGTCAAAGGAGTGAAGTCTGCCGAATGTCATTTTCTAATACTTCATATGAATGGGATGGTTTAGTGGTCACAACGACTCAGTTCTGTGCGTGCAGTATCGTGATAGGGACTCATTGGCTGTGTCTGGATCAGCAGATAACTCCATCAAGTGCTGGGATACGAGAACGGGAAGACCAGAAATGACCATACATAATGCGCACGATAACGCGGTACGTAAGCTCTCTGAAATAACCTCTCAATGTTTTATTTGCTTTTATGTTTTGTAAGTATCTCGTTTGAGGTTACATGTGTCCGCTTCGATGACCATCGTATTGTTTCTGGTAGCGTTGATAGGATGATAAAAATGTGGGATGTGCGAACGGGAAAGTGAGTTGTGATCTGTGATCCGCTATTTTTTTTTGTTTATTACACTTACGCCATTTTCACGGTCATTAAAAAGGTGTTTCGAGCAGATCGGCTAAATCGCCCAATGAGAAAACATTCTTTCAATTTGATGTTGGGATTCGAGAAACCATTCAGGTGTATGCATACAATCGATTGGAAATTAGCCGAAGGTCACACTGGAGTAGTTCGTTGTCTTCAAGTGGATACATGGAGAATTGTAAGCGCAGCAGATGACAGAACTATTAAGGTATTTTGAGTTTGAACAAGTTCTATTCAAAAAGAATAATGTTAACCTGTCGCCGCCTCACTTTTCCACGACATTATTTCTTTTATTGATTCTGTTTTTCTTAAGGGTAGCCTTTTGCAAGATTCACTTATCTGTAAGCTTTCCTTCGCTGTGAACTATCGTAATATATGGGTTCCTGCGTATAAATAGAAAAGCTAAGGCCTGTAAACTTGTCGTACACCTCGAAGCAAGCTCTCATGATCATTTTTATTCCGAGCACTGTTGATAAAGCAATCTGGCACAATTGGTCATCGTCCTAAACATAATCTCCGGAAGATATCTAGTTTTCTCATCCATCTCAGATTTACTTCATCCTTTACGTATCTAGTACCCATAAATTCAAGATAACTTCTAATGTTTAAATGTAGGTTTGGAATGTGGACTCTCTTCAACGCCTTTGCACACTTCATAGTCACGAAGATGGCGTAACGTGTGTCCAATTCAGCGATCGACAGATAGTGTCCGGTTCCTATGACAAGACGGTGAAGTTGTGGGATTTTAGTCGTTGTTAAGGTTGCTTTGTTCTCATTTTTATGTTTTCTGTAAATACGCTGAAGCTCTGTTGTTATTTTACAATTGCTTTCAAACAAATTTTATGTGTTTCTTTAAAACTAGCGATCATTGTCTACGAGGTGAATAATTCTTGTCGATTTGCTTTTTAAGTCTGAACCCATTCGAATACTGTACTGTTGCAATCTATTACTGTTTGCAGTACTGTTACAGAGGGGTAATGTTAATTAACTCTGTGAGACGTCTTTGTTGTACCTTATCAATCGGTTTTCTTCCAATTTTTAAAAAGTAAGTGCTGTGAAGCCTGTGATATGCATGTATGTATATGTTATTTTGCATAATTTACTTTAATATTCTCTGTTCCTAATGATTCACTTGGTAACATTTACATCATTCATACTACTCTAATCGACGTCTAAACAGTCGTATGAAGAGGTGACCACAAATAGTTGTAGACTAGAAGTGTGCGGGCTTTACCTTAATAATCGCTTATAAATCATTTACACTCCAGTGGATTGATCAGTATGTACATGGTTGATTCCAAGAATGAAATAACTACTTATATACCCAAGGTAGAATGTTATGTCTCACCTCGCCAATAGGGCCTGTTTTACTTTATATTTTATTTCACCCTATTCTCTGGTATACAACTGTTCGATATAGCGCTTTCTAAGCCATGTCTTTTTTTTTTCGTGTTACTTTCGCATCACTCATTGCGCTCTCCTCCTATGATCAAGAAAACGGCGAAGTTGAAGGGGATGAATCTTGGGTGGTATCGTCATATCATTACATTTATATTTCTACCAATTGGCTGCTTTTCTAGCGTTTTTGAGTGCCGCATGACGTCTTAAAGATTTTATTTGCTTCTAGAAAAGTGATGTCTACAGACGTGGGGAATGACTTTATCCGATCATGTGTTTGCTTTTCATGTCAAAACTCATGGCAAGAAGCGGGCGAAGGCAAAGAAAGGGAGAGGTACAAACTCGAACTCAACGCGTTGATCCTGGGGATGCTGAGCATTCTGAGCGGGGTCGTGATGAGAGCTCGGAAAGGTGGGAAGAATCCGATGGAACTGTCTCAGAGTCTGATGATAGATATGAAATGCCATGCAAGTTGGCTATGTATGATTTCAACCAATGTGATCCAAAACGATGTTCGGGAAGGAAGCTGTTACGAGCTGGATTAATTACTGAAGTGAGTGTGATTTTTGTCCAGAATGATGCATTCAGAGGCACCTTGCATAGGCAACTTCATTTGGTGCGTTGTCGTGTCGCTTATCAATCTGAAACATATAGTATGTTGAGTCCTAGGTACGGCTTGGTAGTCGTTTCCCCGGACTTGTCCTGAGCCCTACAGGTACGGCAACGTTAGCGCCTTCCGATCGTGACTTCATAGAACAGTATGGGTTGGGAGTGGTTGACTGCTCTTGGAAAGAGGTTGAACGAACTCCACTTCATAAGGTAACTTGTCATTATATGATGTATGATTCTGAGAGATTTACCTTAACTCTACTTATGATCCAC